AATGTTATGATCGGTTTTTCTAAAGCGAGGCTTGATCAGTTTATTTAAAGCTTTATACGGCATGGTTTCTGAAATAGTAGAATTGACTGGAATGAGTTTTCATCCAGTCCTACATTTCTGCTCTAAGATGAATGAACAAATAACTGATCATGGTATGCACAGATGAAAGATAAAGGAAAGTTATAGTAACATAAGGTTAAAACCGGCCTGTTAAGCTCAAAGCAGCCAAGGAACTCCAGATCATACACATGAGCTTAGTCTATGGTGAACCCAATGTGCTGTAATACAAGATTGACAGCTCTTGATGTTCTTAAACCTCATACTTCAGCTGATTATACTTGAACCTCTGCTTTGATTTAACACCATGAGTTTATAACAACCATGGCTGCAAAGAAGTACTTACAAATATGAAATCTAATAGTTCAAAATGAGAAAGCAAATTTTAACCATCCAGTATTTATTAATTTTTTTTTTTTCAAATCTCAGAATGTTACAGTGGTTTCATTTTTAGCCAGTTTTTGCAAGTAGCGGGCTGTGCAATCCTTCAGTATCGAACACTTGAGGCTGACTATATTGCAGTAGCAGGTGATACCATCACTGAATGAAAACAGGAAACTGGGGTTTATATCAGTTAGTATTAGCTGCCTAGCAATTAAGCATCTAATCTAAATTAATCATTTAGGCTCTCTGTATCAGACAGACTAGAAAGGCATGTCCAGGGGATGAATCTTCACACCCATTTTTCATAAGTTTTTTAGGATGGAAAAAGTTGCCTGCCAAGCATGCCTGTGTCTCTCTTGAATGTTGAGGGACACCAGCGGCTACTCAAAAATCTCACCTAACTTTAGGCATGCAAATAATTAGTCTCCTGGTCCCAGCACCTGGCACAGGGCTTTCCACATTATCTGAAACCAAGACGAACACATGTAGCCAGACTGCAAAAGCAAAACAGCAGAGGTGCTGGGTCCAAACAGGATAATCACAGCACGGAGATCATGCCTGGATCGGATCCACAACTTAGCAACATTACTTGTACAAAGCTGATCCTTCACCGGCTAAATGTTCCTGATGTTATAAAACGTGACAGGAAAGGGACAAACAATGCCGAAGTTTCTCCTCGCCTTTCCCCTTGCCGGCAGCCACCCTGAGCACGCACCCACAAGCAGGCACGCCGCCACAGCCATTACCTTGCTTCTAGCTTGCTCTATAAACTCCAGAGGAGCCTTCCCGAACTGAAACGCAGCTCCAAACCAAGGGATCCAGCTCCTGATGCAAGGAGGGGAGCTCGGATTTCTCATCTGAAACAAAACCGCCTTGACAATAAGAAGTCCCAGGATTGCTGCCAAGAGGAGAGCAAGAGCCATTTTGCCTCTTTGCTGCCTGCCTGCCCCAGCAGCTGCTCTGCCTGCTGCAGCACCCGGCACGGCCGCGCTGGCTGGGATTACCCGAGTCAATGAATAGGGCCTCTTTTATCAGCCTTGCCAGCTGATCACTGCCATGGAGACAAAATGTCAAAGCACCAAGCAGCCCAGGGGACAAGCCCTTGTTTTGGAAAAGGCAGAGCCAATTCTCTGCTCTGGGACGAGGACCAACTCCACTGCTTGCAAAACTTAACATGTTGATGTGACAAATCCTTGAACTTCGCACCAGTTGCTGGAAGGCTACCCAAGCAGCCAGGGACACAGCCAGGGACACTGTGGCAAAGCAGTGAGTTGCTTTCTTCAGTCAAAAAAATTATTTTTTGGCAATACCAAGATTACAAAGCAGAGAAGCTGTCATTTGCAGACATTTATCTTTCAGCAAGGCAGATGGCAAGAAACTTCTGCAGACATCACCTGAAGTAGTAAGTCTTATGGAAAGTATCTCTCACCTCTCTGAGTTCTTCTCATTAAAGGCTAGATGTGTGTCCAGTGTCTGAGGAGCAGACAAAGGCTTCAGAGCTTGAACTGATAATTAAAAAACTGCTGGTGGCCCCTATAATATCACTCCAATGTCAGAAGACAAGATTTCAGAAAGGACAGGTTGGTGTCTTTGTGTGTGTGGAAGTGGCACACCAAAATTACATACAGAATTCATTAAGTATAAAAAAACCTAGGAAGTGTTCTCACAGCCTACCCCCGCATACCCTCAGCGAGTTTGAAGACACCATAAAACCAAGAGGAGTAGTTGATAGACCAGGTGAGTGTGCTGCCATTCAGAGGAACCTCAACAGGCTGGAGAACAGGGCCAACAGGGACTTCTCGTAGAATCACAGAATATCAGTTTGAAAGGGTCATCAAGGATCATCTGGTCCAACCTTTCTTGGCAAAAAAGTGACTTCATGAGGTTCAGCAAAGGGAAATGCCAAGCCCTGTCCCTGGGGAGGAACCACCCCATGTACCAGTACAGGCTGGAGGCCACCTGGGTGGAAAGCGGCTATGCAGATCTGGGGTCCTGGTGGACACGATGTTGAACATGAGTCAGAAACGTGCCTTTGCGTTTAACAGCACCCTGGGCTGCATTAGGAAAAGCATTGCCAGCAGGACAAGGCAGGTGATCATCCCCCTCTGCTCAGTGCTAGAGAGATCCACCTGGAGCGCTGGGTCCAGTTTGATGCTCCCCAGTGCAATGGACAGACTGGAGTGAGCCCAATGAAGTGCCAAGAAGTTCATAAAGGTGCTGGAGCATCTGTCATTTGAGGAGAGGCTGAGAGAGCTGGGACAGTTCAGCCTGGAGAAGAGAAGGCTCAGGGCGATCTTATCAGTGCGTACAAACACCTGAAGGGAGGGTGCAAAGAGGATGGAGCAAGCATTCATTAATTTTTGTGTTTATTTTGGACATTTTTTTTGTTTATTTGTCTAGCTTTTGCTTGTGGGGTATGATTTGGTGAAGGACACAAGACACTACTGAAAGGCACTATTTTGAGGAGGACACAACCAGTATGATGTAACTAACAAGTTTTCTTCAGACTAGGTCCTAGTCCTGGGCAGATAATAGTTAATGGTCTTTCCAATGTAAACTAACAGAGTCACCACTGATGGAAGCAGGTGAGAGGACTGGGGCAGTTTGGCTGCCTTTCTCTGGCATCACACATCCCTCCCAGACCCTGCTGCTGCATTTCCATTGTATCTGAAGTCCACGCTCCCTCCCTGCATATGCAGCCTTTGATCAAACTGGCTTTGGACAGAAACCAGAAAATGCTGTCTCACTGAAAAATGAAATAAATAAATAGGAAGGATCCTGTCTGCTCGAGCTGCCTCCCTCAGGACTTGGGGATATATGAACTCCAGTTTTTTGATGGACCTCCATGAGCACTGGCCCTTCTCTGCTCCACAAATCACACAGCTGGCCACACAAGCGTCCATCTCCAGGTCAGGCTCATTTCAAAGATTTTGTGGGAAGACAGAGTTCTTCCTCACCACCCCCCCCAAATCAGTCTGGCTTAAAAAAGGACTTATTTCCCCAGACTAAAAATGACCATGGAGAGCTGCTCTCTCTATAGGATGCTGCAATGCTATGAGGTTTATTTTAAGGAGGGATCTAGTTGTTGTTTTCCACTGCCTAAAGCACGGAGTGAGACTGTCCCCAAAGGTGTACATCTAAGGGATGAGAGGCAATGGATAGAAGATGCAATGTGGGAAATTCTGACTGAATATAAGGAAAAAATGTTCACAAAGTGGTTAAGCACTGGAGCAGGCTGTGCTTGTGAAATCCTCATCCTCGGAGGTTTTAAGAAGGTGACAAAACAAGACCCTGGGCAACCTGATGTAACTCTGAAGCTATCCCTGCTGGGTCTAGAGGATTGTACTAGATGACCTCCTGAGGTCCTCTCCAACCTAAACTACGAATCAATGATACACAGACTGACACATAGTGGCACAAGCTGACCCAAGCCCACAGAATAGCTACGGAGGGAGGCCCAAAAGTGCCAATAGCAGACTGCATAAACTGTCTAGAATAAGGCTCCGAACCACTCGTACCCTCAGTGCAGCCAGGCATGTGTGTATTAAATTGCAATATGGCTTCTTCCCATTTTAATCAGGGTTTTGTTGGTAGTTTGTTTTATCACTGCATGAATTCTAATGAGTTCTAACCCAAAGAAGGATCCAATTTAATACTGGTTGCTGGTGACTGATGAGATAAATTCATCTGACTTTAGCTGAATATTTCACCTCCAATGCTCTCTTCATTTGTCTGAACCGATGTGACCAGGACTGCACACCAAAATGTTAGGCAGTCAGACGGGGGTGTGTGGAAGTGTTCTGGGATAAGTTTCTGTGACCTAAAAAATCCTCAAATCCCCAGCATGAGGATTAGTGATTAATGGCTAATGATTAACTTAGTGATTCAGCTGAGCCTTAATGATAAATGAAAAGCTTCACTTGAACAGCGCATACCTTACCCTTTTTTCCATTATGAGAACCTAAATACGCCTACATTAATTTAAAAGAAATTAGGACTGGCACACAATTAACAGGGCTTCAGCATTCAGCCAGGAAAAGCTTTAAACTTTTCACATAGGGAGCTTTGGGCAGAGATCGGCTTCTGTCTTCCCAGGTTTGCTTGCCCCTTGCTCAAACTGCACTACTCTGTGCCTAATCCCCAGGAGACATGAATTGCTACCAGCACTCCAGCTCGGCATGTAGCTGCTGCTAATGCAGCTTTTGTTAAACCAGATCTGGATCAATTAATCCGTCTCAGATGCCTGTGTGACACCGGGATGCAGTTTGGGGCTCCAGAGGCACCGCTGTCAATGCCAGCACCCCATAAAGCAAACAGACCCCACATGTGTTCTCATAATCTTGAGGTCTCATTACTAATATATTTTAAAATGTAGATAATGGGCAAAATTGTGCGTGCGACTGTACCTGCACTGCCAGTTTTCTGGCAGAGGGTAGCGTTGGTGACAGACTACATTTCCCAGGAGGCTGTTGCGCAGGAGTCTCTGGTGTCACCGTACGAGGACCTTGCAGCTCTGCGAGAGGCACTTGGGCTGCTGCAGTTCCTGGTGCTGGCGTTGGAGAAAGATGACCTTCAGCAATTTGTCTCCTAAACGACCCAGAACAGAACTGAGCTAGGGTCTGCTTTTTGCTCCAGAGCCCTCGCAGGGTGGCTGGTTAGCCTTGGTTCATGTTAGACGCTAGATGTCACCTACAGAAGAAGAGAAGAGCTTACCTCTTCCAGAGAGATGGCCCCGAGCCAGCAAATTCGCTCTGTCAGCCTGTGCAGCGGCTGTGGCAGAACTAGGTACAACTCACTGTGATTTTTCCGAGAGGGAAGGGGGTCAAAATTTACTTACAGGGGGTAGGGGTAACTTCAGTCCCTGGATGCCTTGTTCCTCGGTGTTTGCTCCAGCTTTTCTGCTCCAACAAATCTGTTCATTCCACTCTGCTTGTCGTGACTTTTCAATAATTTAAGCCTTGCAAGTGTTTTATGCCACCTGACTGTGGCTGGAGGGAGGGGTTTTTCAGGTTGAAATCGAGAGCAAAGGGCTGCAGTCATTAATACAGAGCAGTTGTGACTAATTTAAGCTTTGTACATCCTGGGTTTCTGAAAGAAGACTAAAGAGACAGGACAATCTGTTACCTAAGTTAGTAGCCAGGGGCTGACTTCTTCAGGAATTTCCTTTTCATAGTTAATACAGGTTAATCAAAGAAAAATCGAATCTTAGGTCTCTGGTTACAGTGCAGATGTCTGTAAAACGGGAGTATAGTAAACTGCTTCCTGAAACACGGAGAAGAAGCACCCTGGCATCTGCACAGCACTACTTTGTGATCAGTAACTTATTGGGACTATTTCTCTGCATATTTTATATAATTTCTACAAGCTCTTACAGGCAAATCTCTAATGATTTGCAACTTCTCAATCTTTGCTTGTCTTTAAACATGAATACCAAACTCAACACACAACTAGACTGTAAATCTGCTGAGGCTTTGAGTGGTGACTGCATTCCCCTGGTACCTCCGAGTCCTGCTGTGGGAGGACGCTGTAGGATGGTGTGTCGCAGAGGTATCGAACCAAAGACAATCCCTACTGCTGGGCACTCGCTGCCTGAGACAGGCTGGGAAGGTCCATCACCCAGAGAGGCACTCCTGGTCTGGAACTGAAATTAGGAGCAGAAAATATGTACCCACACTGTTTCAGAAGAAGCCCTGGAAAGCTGAGATCAAGCTGGACCACCTTCCCTGGTGAGCAGTTATTTCAGTGAGAGAAATAACAAGCTAAACATGATTTTTGTGTCTGCATCAGAAAAGCAGCAGGTTTTAGGGTGGTTCGTAGGGTAGATGCTCACCTGCCTGTATGTCTGCATTACAATGGCCACTGTGGGGTTGTTCCTGACTGTCACGTGTGCTGCCACTATGCTGGGCAGAGTTGGAGAGGCCACACGCTTTATAAGAGATTTGACTGATCTTTATTCAGGGCAGTAACTGGAACAGGATTTTTAATCCAGGATCTCTTGGAAGGTACACGTATTGCATAACAAATCTGCAAAAAGAAGTAAAGGAGAAAGACTTGGTGTTTAACAGGAACGTATTTTGGTTACTCATGCCCAGAGCCACTTTTAACAGATCTTGACGTGAATCTCCTGTTCTCCACGAATTGCCGGCACCCCCATTGGGTATGGTCCCTGCTGCCTGCTGGTGCTTGCACAGGCCTCTTGGCCGCCTGGCAGGGTGGACTGTGGTGCAGATGTAACCAGCGTGTAGATCTCCCCACAGCTGCACTTGTGTTCATGTTTGTTCCCTGCTCTTTCTTTTCAGTGACATTTCCCCTGGATCTCACGAAAACTCGACTGCAGGTCCAAGGTGAAGCTGCCGTTCATTGCAATGGAGCTGCCGCCGGCCAGGCGGTCCCTTACCGTGGCATGCTGCGCACTGCCGCTGGCATCGTGCAAGAGGAGGGCCTACGAAAGCTCTGGCAAGGAGCCACACCGGCTGTCTACCGCCACATAGGTGATTATCTGCTCACGACAGGACAAGTTTGGGTCCTGCCTTCTGTGGCCAACAGCCTTTTGGAGTGAGCTTGCCATATCTTCTTGTACTTTAAATATATCTTCAGTCTACCCTGCAATCCCACTTCAAAATATGTGAGATTCTGGCTCAATATCATCTCTTCCCTCTCTTGTCCATTCCTTCACAGCCTTATTCTGGCTTCTGGGAAAACAAAACATCATTTCCCTGTCATCTTTGCAGGAAGGTCTTCAGTGCAAGCGAGCACTCAAGAGTCCTCAGAACAATAAATATATTTTATTTGAGGGAAGCAGGGATGGGCTGGGAAAAAAGATAAGGTTGCAAATGCTAGGGTGAAGAAATGCATTAGTGGTTTGGCCACAGGTAACAGCCTTCTGTGTTTTATTTGGAAATATGGTGAGAGCAACAAACCTCAAAAGCACTTGTGGGAGGTGTTGTGCTTGGCATCAGCTGGGAGGGAAGCAATGCGGTCACATCTCTTTAGCGTGCAGGCATAAGCCATGCTGCCTCCTGGCAGACATACGGCTCAGGCAGAGAGATTCTCTGATGCTAAATAGTTCTGGCTCTAGCACTGCTACCAGGCAGCCCCCTCGCTTTCCCCATTTTGATCATGAATGTGAGAGCAGTGACCAGCTGACCCAGGCGTGCTCCAGAGTGTTTTACAACCAATCTCTTGATCTCTCTACCACAGCATGACCTGCAGAAATGGCAGACCCAAAAATTACCTCCTGCTTTTGTTTCCCATAGTATACTCTGGTGTTCGAATAGTTGCGTATGAACATCTCCGTGACTCCGTGCTTGGCAGGGCTGAGGATGAAAGCTTTCCTTTCTGGTAATGTTCCATATTTATGCTTTTGCCTGCTTAGGGATTGTCCTTACTGTAGGAGTCCCGCAGCCCTAAAAGCTGCTTCTTCATGGCTCGCCTACACTAAAGAGCGATATAAAGAGCGATATAAATATAAAGAGCGATATAAATATAAAGAGTGATATAAAGTAGGGGTTTAAGCACTGATAATGGACTTTCTGATTTTAGTTCCAGGGCAGTACCTTTTCATTCAGCTAGAAGCAGGAGTAAGAAATATTGAAATAAGTTTCTCAGAGGCTTAACTAGGACCATGATTACTCTCATAAGGATACCGTACTAAAAAGATAGAGAAACATGATAAACCGCATCGATAGGAGCAGCTGTCCTGGGCTGGCAGGAATTAGCCTGGATCAGAGTGGAGGTAGGGCAGCTTTACCATGACTCAAGGTCTGTGACCTAGTGGTAGCTCCTTTATTTCTGCATGGGCCAGGGGATGTTGGGAAGTGCAGGTGAGTCACGGCTGACCGTACAGCTGTGTGTGACGGCTGCTGGAGAAACCGTGAGCTGTTGCACAAACCCAACACCAGCGTGAGTGACCACGAATAATCCTGCAGCTGCCTGGGTAATGCAAACCAGAGGTTCAGCTAGGCCAAGCTGGACTTGCAGCTTGTGCCCTTTTCAGCTCTGAGGTCACTCAAGAACTTAATTAGCTTCACATCGGGTGAGGATACATCTCCAAAGGTATGATCGATATCTCAAATATCCTCTGGAGCTTTGTAGAAAAGAAGTGAGGGATGGTACATCTCAGATTTCCAGCTGCTGAAGGGACGGTTCCTGCTAGGTGTTGTGCAGCAGCAGCATGGTAATCCTTTGCTGTTTTGCTGCTTGTCATACTGCCTGGGTAAGAAATTATTATGCCATTGGATTACAAGCAATGGGAATAGGAAGGTTTGCTGATTCTGGTGGTGTATCTTAGAGATGGAAAGTTCCTGGCTACTGAAGAGGCAGATCGTGAAGGAAAAATGCTATTTTGTTCATGTGTGTATGACAGATGTCAGCCTAAGTTAAATCTGTGCATCCTTCCCAAGGAGACAAGTGATCCCTATAAAATGCAAAACCAAAGTCTTTGTTTTGCAAGTTTAATTCAGCAACAGTTAAATCTCACTCAGTCCCTTTTTTGAGAATGGAAGTGGCATATAGCCACAGAATTAACTCTTTGCCTGTGGGGAATGAGCACATTTTTATAGAAGTTTTGCAAAAATTGGTAATTTCTAATTGTCAAATCCTTGTTGTTAAAATGTCAGTCATGTACTTTTATAATCATACACATTATCATATCCAGTCAAGTATTTTACTCCAAAATCAAATCTTGGGTCCAAAATGTAACTGTTTTTAGGATGGGACTTATAAAATCTAATACAAAATACTTGTTGTGCCTGGTGCTATGGGAAGGGGGAACTATGGATAATACTGAAATTTCTAGTTCTACTAAAATAAGTGGAACCAGAAAATTAACAAAACTCATCTAGTAGCAATGGGAGATAAATAAAAAGTTTATATAGCAGCAAGCAGTTTAGAATCTCAGCTTGGCATTCAGTTATTATAATATATGGAGCACCATCCTTTACTTGTGTACCTTGCCATCCTGCCTTTAAACCTTAAGCGAAGAGCATAATGTAACCTGGAGAAGAAGCAGAGCATCTTGGTGATGTATAATGACTTGATTTTTTCCCCCCAGATAAGTTCTAACCCTTTCTTAAAAGTGACAGAAGTATTATTGACTACCATAGCTACCTGCAGTTGCCACAATTATTACCTTAACTTTGGCTGTTAGTACAAGGAATAACCATTTAGACTTGTTTCACCTGGGTTGTGCTGCTGAACTCTTCAGCTCAAGCACTGCGATTCGTGAAGATTTTCAGTGTATTCTGGAGCACATTTTTTTTTCCTTGTTTGGCAGGAAAGCTGTAGTTGGAGGCATGTCTGCAGGTGCCATTGGACAGTTTTTTGCCAGCCCGACTGATTTGGTGAAGGTGCAGATGCAGATGGAGGGAAAAAGGAAGTTGGAAGGAAAGCCATTACGGTTGGTTCCTCTTGAGGCTGGCCTTTTTTTTTCTGTTAATGATTACTCTTTGACCTAAGGTGTGGTTCACTCTGTTTTCGGCCACCCCCTCTCCTCGGCTGCTGTGTCCTTTTGGGGGAAGAGCACTGCCTGGGAGGCATGCAACAGCTCTGGGCAGTGGAGAGGGTGGGGGATTTGAGAATTCCTCCTTATTCCATTTATACTCACCTTCCTTATTCTGATGTATTGGTCCCAGAGACCACAAACCCTTGCCCATCCCACATGTGCAGCATCTCCATGCCAGCACTTTGCTGGGGGCAGGGAAGGTTGCTTTCTGAAGGAGGGAAGCTGGAAGAAAGGATGGGGGAAATGGCTTGTGCAGGATGCACAGGCACAGGGAAGGGCTGGGTTCCTTGCAGACAGCAGGGCTCGAAACCCTCCTGCAAATACCAGGACACGCTGCTCTTTGCATCCAAAACTGCTGGCATCATTTGGTATCTCATCTCATACATTTAATACTGCAACCCAGCTGTGGGATCAAAGGGTTGTCTGCTGTTAGCGACCAGATTCGTGCTTAGCAGGGCAACCGGTATGTTTGGTGAAACAGGGTGGCATGAAAGTCAAAGATAGATCCAAAAATGGATCCAAAAATGGATCCAGAGGGCCAGATCCTCGCAGGTATACCTTGCCATTCCTATGTGAGGACCTGGTGCAGCAAAGTGCTGGAATACGCAAATATTTCTCCGTAGCTGGGCTCTCTACCTATGAGTTGCATACTGATTTCAGGTTTCGAGGAGTGCACCACGCATTTATGAAGATCCTGTCCGAAGGAGGAATACGGGGACTTTGGGCTGGATGGGTGCCAAATGTCCAGAGAGCTGCTCTGGTGAACATGGGAGGTAAATGTAATAACTTGGTCTGCAGTGCCTAAGGCCACATCTAAGCTTTAAGAAGAAACAGTTCAGCTGCTCCCCTGGTCTTTGTCCCTTGATTTTCTACACTGGGGACCTATTTGGACTGCACTGCAGATGACTTCTGCCTTGTGGACCTGTGTTTCAGTCCTGTGGAAATCAAGTTGCTTAAAAATAAGTTTGTGCCTGAGCCTAAGGGATGGTGAGCTGGGAGCGGAGCAGGTCCCGTGGCCATCAGAGCAGGGATCTCGCCAGCTACAGCCCAGCCCCCCGGTACCCAAGCAAGGTGAGCAGAGCAGAGCCAGCGAAGGCAGCCAAGTTTCACCAAGATCCAGATCTGCTCTTAAAATGAGTGGCAGACACTCTCTATTAACCCCTCCCTCCAGGAGGGGAAGGGACAGAGAAAAGGGAGAGAGACTTACAGGCTGGAAATTAAAACTACTTTAACAGTACAATAATAATGGAAAATAGTATAATGA